AATCCCTGGTTCTCGCTTCTAAGTAGTGACATTCCATTCATGAGATCATATACATGTTCATATTAATAATTCCAGAAAATGCTTTCTTTGTTATAACATATGTGAGTGTTAGTCTACATGTTTACATCAATCTTTTCACATATACCTAGTGTAGGGAGTGTAGTCAGAAAATCTGTGTGAAAATAGAGAGTATATCCAGTGAGGAATTGGGGGAATTCTCTAAGGCATGTTACTACATTCAAAATGTTGTTTTAATTGATGAAATGCGAGATGGTGAGTGGTGACTGCGATTAAGTGTTTGCTTAAGTGTAAAGAGAGCTAAACTCTATGGGAGTAGTGATTTTTAATATGTCATGTTCATTTGAAATCCCTGAGGCAAATGTTGGAAGGTCTAGATTGTGTTTTGTTTGTTTTGTTTTGCTCGAGGACTAGCAAAAGCTAAGTGTGGGGGAATTTGATAGGAGCATATTTATGCGACTTTGTTAGCCTATTTCCTTGCATTTACTTAGTTTCTATTTATTTTAGTATTTTAAGCTATTTTCGTGTGTTTGTAGGTCCAAATGGCTAAAGTGGCAAGAAAAGGCAATTTGAAGCAATTTGGAGTAGTTTTGGGCTTGGAATGGATAGCACATGCTTGGAGCAAGGTGGATGGACGAAATTGAAGTTCAAGAAAGGCTAGGAATCTACTAAAGAGATGGAAGAAATTAATTCAAGACTTGGAAGAGAAGGAATTAGCTACAAAGAAGGAAACATGAGTCAAACTTCCTTATTTTGACTTAGTCAATCCTCATCTTTTCCTACTTAATTTCCAGCTGTTAAGGGGGGTTCCTAATTAATTTAGGAAACTTAAATATAAGTTCTAGAAGCACTAATCCCAGTCAAAGAGGGATGCCGCACCACCTATCCCTTTCCTTCCCTTTCCTTGCCGTGCAAGTCCTTCTACCTTTCCCAATTCCCTTGCAGCACAATCCTTTTGGGATTCTGATTTGTTACCTTTTTCTTGGAGGATTTGGAACCTTAAACCTTTCCCAAATTAATTCCTAGCCGTGCCCTTCCTTCCCATATAAATAAAGAGCCTTGCCGCACCCATTCAGATACCAATTCATACTTTCAGCCATTCTTTCATACAATTCATCACTCAAACCTTCACCCACACCTTGTGCCGCAGCGAAGAAGAAGAAGGAGGACCTTAGGACATGCTTGCCATTCAAGATCGGATTGTTGGAGCGTTTCTAGGTGTATTCAATCCTTTATTTTCAATGTTTAAGTTTAATTATCTTTGTTTTGCGAATATGAGGAGCTAAACTCGTTTTAGCTAGAGGAGACTTTGAAACCATGATTATATTTGCAATATGAATTGATTACCTCCAGTTGTGATTTCATAAATTATGAATGCAATTTACTTAACTGCTTGATATATATATATATATTGTTTATTGTTTATTTGATTTCTTCAATTGTATGGCCAAAATTACAAAAAAGGGTGTATAAAAGGTTAAGAATGATGTGTGAAAATCATCTTTATTTTTTATTTTCTTGATGTACAAATTTAATTTCATGAAAAATTTATTAATATCCTCGTTAAATTGAGGGTTTTGTTTGGCAAAAATACCTTTAAAATATGGTTACGTGGCCATTCACGTGATAATTAACGAGGATACTGATAGACTTTTCACAAAATGATCAAAATGACTTTCAATGAACAAATTCAAGGACCACATTTATTGAATTTCATTGTCAAAGACCAAATTGAGGAGTTACACCAATTTTTAAAACCATTTTGGCCAAAAAACCAATTCACAACTATTTCTGTTTCAACAACCATTTCTTATGGGCTGTGTATTGATCTAAAAACCAATTAGATATGGGAGTAGTAGGCCATTGCTAAACATCACATGTGGGTCATTTCTTCGCATTCTCACATTTTAATGCAGTAATACTAGATGATGGATACACTCATTCTTTTGCTTGAAGATTTTAAATTAATAAACTCATTAAATGCGTGCCATTTTCGACGCTCAAAATGTTATTATTCATCAAATCTATCTTCTTCTTTCTTTCTTTTTTTTTTTTTTTTTTTTTTTTTTTTAAATTTTCGTTGTTTTATTGGTAGGAGGTCATTATGCATGTACTTATGTTTTCAAAATACTTCCATTTTTCGAACACATTTTCAAAATACTTCCATTTTTCTACCACCGTAGCACGATATTATCCGCTTTGGGCCCCGACTATGTTCCCACAGTTTTGTTTGTGGGAACTCACACGAGAATTTCCTGATGGGTCATCCATCCTGGGATGCTCTTGCGCGCTACTCGCTTAACTTCGGAGTTCCTATGGAACCCGAAGCCAGTGAGTTCCCAAAAGGCATCGTGCTAGGTAAGGATGAGAATATACATATAAGGATTACTCTCCTGGACGATGTGAGATCTTACATTTAGTGCATGTTATTGTCAACACAATTTTCAATAATACATATAAAATTCACGTATTCAATGCATATTTTTGATAAATTAAAATGATTAATTTATTTAAATAAATATTAAAATAAAAAATGGCAGAATTTTTCAAAGTAAATTTTTGGCAACGCTGTTGAATAACACACGAACATATCTTTCACATATTATATCCGTTCTGTATTTTACAAACTATTGTCAAAGGCTAAAGGGCTATAAATATTCTTTGTTACTGATAGGATTTTTACTACCTGCAAAAGTAAGAATAAAAACACTTAAAAATACTTACAAGAAAACAAGGTAGTTGTAGTAAGAATGCTCATGCAAAATTGTTCTCAACATGGATTAGTTAAAACAATTTATATTAAAGCCAAATATTAATTAATTATTTTAAACAAAGTTTTAAAAATGTTGATTTTGGCATTTTAAAAATAATAAAAACAAATTTTAATTAAAACAATTAAAGATATCGAGAAAGTAAGGAAAACAAAATAAAAGAGTCGTTGAAAATAAAGTTGTAAAGCACTAGGGTTTCATCGTCACGTTAACAATCCTATGTAGTTTTCCAATTACTTATAACTTACATATGCATATTTTGAAGGTTAGGTTTTCCTAAAGTATGCTCTACTTGGACCCCCAATATAGAACGTATATCAAACATGCAATCCGTCTATGATGTTAAGCTCAAATCTAAAAATGCAAAACTCATTAAGTTTTATGAAAACCTTTTGAAAAACCATGCAACTATTAAGATGTGGTATTCATCCTAAGTGAAATTACAATAATTAACCACAAGAAGTTTCATCAATTTCAAGGACTGACTCCGACCAAAATTGTATCAAATTACTTTTCTAAATATCATAATGGTAGCTAAGTATTAACACAAATAGATAGTTTCAAACACGACGATTAATAATTCAAAACATGCATGCATAGTATCACAAGTAAACTGAAAAGAAACCACACCTTGCCCTAGCAAAAGAGATTAGTTACACACAACCATAAAGCAAAAATTATTAAGAACATGGGTAGAAAAACATCTTGTAAATAAACTTGAATCGTCAAAAGCTCTCTAAGCTGAATTCTCCAAAGTAATGCGTTAAGAACCGTAATGGCTAAATAGCCTTATTTATACTACTACAAAATAAAAATGTCCTTGAAAATGTCTTAGAACAAAACTAGGAAACATAATAAGTTAAAGATAAACTAGGAAGCATAATCCTAATCAATAATGGGAAATCTGCCCAGCCATAAAAGCAGCCACGTTCAATAATGGGAAACTTGCCAAGCCACAAAAGCAGCCGCATTCTGGGCCTTAGACACTTACAAAACAGGCCTAAGATGACTCTTTTTAAAACTTAAAATATCTTGAAAATATTTAAAGAACGGCTTGCTGTCAAAAAACACCTTCTTGGATGCCAAAAAGGCCAAACACCTTCTTCGCCATAAATTATTCACTTGGTAGAAAAATCTGAAAATTTGCTATGAACAAGCTGAGAGACTCACGAATATCCTTCAAATGGAATCACTCAAAAATTCATCTTGCATGTCTTATGTTAAAAATATAAATCAAAGTAGCAAAATTTCACCAAAATAATTACTAAAATATACTAAGAATATGATAAAACATATAATATAAAATCAATTCATATATTGCCTAAATTTTCTTTAGCACCCCGGATTTTACTTATAAATGTGTGCACTCTTGCGCAGAAAGTTTAACTTAATTATGTTAAATGGGTAAAAAGTTTAGATTTTAAGAAGGGAATTTCGAAGTAAAAAAAAAAAAAAAGTGGGGAACACTAATTAACTCTGAAAAATTGTTATCACACTTTCAATTAGAATAGCATTACAAAATGCAAGGTTCTAAAAAACGCTAGGCGCTAGTCGGGTAATGGGCTGGCACTTAGCGCCTAGGCGGCTAGGCGAGGTCTAGGCGGGCACCTAGGCGGCCTAGGCGGCCTAGGCGGATTTAGATAGATTTCTTGTATATCTTGTAAATAAATGCATATTGACACTTACAAAAAGAGTATCCAACAAGTTCAAAATTTACTTGTATGAAATTCATGGATAAGATAATATAAAAATAATAAAATGCAAAAAGAGTATCCAACAAGTTCAAAATTTAAAAACACATTAAGCATATATGCCATATAACCATAGTGAGGAGTATTGTAGGATGACACATGTACAACAAGTTCACAATTTTAACCCCTTAGATTTGGATAGGATTTTTTTTTTTAATTTCATTAAAAATAAAAATAAAAAACTGCCTAGCACTGCCTAGCCTCGCCTAGCCCACCTAGGCGCTGCCTAGAGCCCAGTTGATTTTCAAGAAAACGTCTCAGGTCACCACCACCCAGCGTCTAGACGGCCGCCTAGGCTGTTTTTTAGAACACTGACAAAATGTGGAAAGCCGAAAAATAAAGCCAGCTCATAATAAACAAACATAGTACAAAGGCCATAAAGCAAAATTAGAAGATGCAAACTCAAGCCTTATACCATGCATACAAATTAAATAAGAGAAAATGGAACTTTGCCCTCAACTCATTTAATTGGAACAAGACTTTCCTCATAAATAAGAGCTTGCAAATCTGTAACCTGATGCATAATTGGAGGAATATGAAGATCCTTGAAATTTCCAGTACTCGAATTATAAGAGGTGACTCTCCTACCGGAGGCAACCATAAGAAGCTTGTCACATTTCCAAAGTGTCAATGGATACTCAATGCCTTTAAAAGGACCAACGGTTAGGAGTTTTGTCCATGAACTCTTAACACCGCCATACCCATCCATTACCCATATTTCAAATAATTTAGAATCCTCACTTGGATCATAGCGATAACAATAAGAAGTGATAGATTCATTATAAAGAAAAAGCCCACAAAAGTTAAAACCGGATTCTATCTTAGAAGGCAATTGTATTCTATGAAATATTTCATCACCTAAATCAAATGAAAGTATGCATTCTTCGCCATCCGTTGCAAACCAATAACAAAATCCCTTCAAGTACACAGAAAAGGGATAGGGATGGGTTGAACTTGATATATCAATCTTGATCTCTTTCCAAAAGTTAGCAGCCGTGGTGTATACCTCAGCCGTGTAAGGATAAGCAATACAATGTTGATATGTTTGCTCATCATCTGAATACTCACAATTTTCTACAATTTGCACAACCTTGTATTCATTAGCTTTGCAATCATAGCCAAAACCCATTCCGTGAAAGGTCGTTTCCAATTCGAATTTTCCCTCGGGATGGGGTACAAGAAGGCATGAATTGGGAAGAAGCCTGAATTCCCTCGTTGAAGGATTGCATAGAAGAACATTATCCCCTTCTATTAGACATACAATGCCATTGCAATACCCGTGAATCTGTACAGGATTATGGTCATCCCTAGAAAACGGTATATTTAAGGGTTTAACGTCATAATGAAGGTTGTGCACATCACTATCAATGGAAAGATTAATCATGGACCATAAAACTTCACGTTTCCAACTCTGATCCGGGAAAATGTGAAACTGAGAACGGTTGAGAAGGATACAAGTGGAGGATGAGAGTTTGTTGTCCAAGGAATTGCTGAGGTGTTTGGCCACAAAACTTGGACTATTGATAAGAGTGCACCAAGACTTGCGTATGCATTTGAATCGCAACAGAGACTTGGGCGACAACCTGGACAAGATTTCGACCACCCTGTCTTCAGGAGTTTCACTTTCACGCACTTGGAACATTTCAGCAACTCTGTCCCATAGGAACTCTTAACATGTATAGAAATACACAGAAAAGAACACCACCAGTTTGAGAGCCAAACTAAATCAAACTACAAGTCCCTAAGGCATGGTAGATCAAGATTCAATTATTAAGCATATTACCATATAAGATGCCAAAATTTAACAGTACTAAATAAACATGGGCTTCCACAACCACAGCATATTTAGCTATGGAAGAAAATAAAGGCGATCCAGTCAATTTCGAGTTTTATGGAGGATAAAACATTCAAATTTTACTATCTTTTTAATTTTTTTTTTATCGATACAAAGCCATTCAAATTTTACCTTTTAATCTACATTTTTTTGAGAAAAAGTACAATATCGTACAAAGTGAGGATAGGATGCATAGATGGGCCTCGATAAAAATCTTGTTGGGAATTTCAACTGGTCGAATGAAAAAAGGAGTGTCCTGCATAAACATAACTATCCTGAAAAAAAAAGCACATAAAATCAATTCAAATTACATTGAGTGTCATCAATCAAAATATCTGAGACCAAACCTAGTGGTTCCTTAAACCATGACCCCTCGAGCTGTCTTACAGCTCCTGGATGAGCCAATCTATGTGCTGCTTGATTGGCCTCACGACAGGCATGATTCAGCTTTGGACGAGCGAAGACTTGAAGTAAAACTTGAATGTCGTTGATTATCGGACCCAACAAAGAGCTATCATCTTCTTGGCGATTCATTGCAGTAAGCGAGACACTTGAGTCCCCTTCAAACATAACATCCACACCACCAATATGAAGGATCTGATCCGAAAGAGAACTCAAACTTAGCTTTGAAAAAGGCTTGCATCAATCGGTGGACAGCGAGAGAAAACGATTGAGCACGGCTGCTCGTCCGGTCAAACTTCGGATCTCCTTCAAGGTAGTTAGAGATTTCGTCTCTAGGATTGCTCGGATTTACTTGGGATGTGTTTCGATTCCTCGTTGGGTTACTAGGTACCGTAAGAATCTGCCTGAAGATTCTCCAAATGTGCATTTGGCGGGATTGAGTTTCATCTTGTACTTTCTAAGGATGTCAAAAGTTTCCACCAAGTTGTTGATGTGGTCTGATCGCTGCTTGCCCTTCACCATGATGTCGTTGACGTAGACCTCCATGGTTACTCCAATTTGCTTCTTACACATCATGTTTACTAGTTGTTGGTAAGTGGCTCCCGAGTTCTTGAGACCAAAAGGCAGGAACTTGTAGCAGTAGGTGCCTCACTCGATCACCAATGCGGTTTTCGCCTTGTCAGGCTCGTGCATGGCTATTTGGTTGTAGCCGGAGTGTGCGTTCACAATTATAATCTGTTTCAATTTAGTTAGTTAGACTTTAGAATTAATTCGATCTCTGTGAGACGATATTCATGTTTCAAAGTTATACCATCATCTAATTTGTATACTTGCAAGCACTAAAATTCGAGACTTAATGAGGCTAATTTTGGTTATCTAATTTTTGCGACAATATCTTGTATACTAAAGAGGATAACTTACATTTATTTGGGCCTCAATAAAAGCTGTTGGAAGATTTCAACTCTGTCGAAAGGATAAAAGGGTCATGTGCCAAAACAAAACAAAAAAAAAGAGATCCGCAATCTAGTACTATTGTCGATCAGTAGTAATCAACCTAGTACTCCTTGAAGATTTTGAGCAGTTGATCGAAGGTGTTGGTCGTACATGCAGCCTCAATCAGCTTGTCAATTTTTGCATCGAACATCCAGATTCCGGCCGGTTGGGACTTCCTGATGACTTGTTGGAGAGTTGGATCCAAGAGATAATTTAACGGAAATTGATATTTGTTTCGTTCTCCCACGTACAAAACTATATAAACTTTCTTGGAGCACTGGGACCTAATGAATATCCTCATCTTTTCTAGAACAAGATTTACATGATCTTCACCCTTTGTATGCGCTTCGAATTCTCCTCAACTAGAAATTCACAAGTACATGATGAAAGGTTTTTTTATTTTTTTATTTTTTTAATTTTTTTCTGCTGTTTTTCTTCGGCTTTAAAGTAAAATGAATGTTTCTTGCAGGTTTAGTGAAAGGCTACCCGCAAAGAAACGTCATCAACAAGTAACATTGCGGGCATGCTTGCATGCGATTCTAGTACTTCCTGAAGATCTTGGGCAACTGATCGAAGGTGTTAGTCGTACGTACAATCTCAAGTGGCCCATCAATCTTTGAATCGAACACATCCGGTTTCGAGTTCTTGTTGAGTTGTTGGATAATTGGATCCGATATATACTTCAAAGGAACTTGATATTTCTTTCGTTCTTCTCCTAGAATATTTAAAATTCCTATTGATAAATAAAAATAAAATAAAATAACTAGTGTTTGGCCAATTGAATCATTCAAACTCAAATATCAAATATGAAAGGACCATTGACAACATCCTGAAAAATCATGTGCACTATTTTTGCAACGTTATTAATTAAGAGTACTCTTAATTAAACAGTTGCTGTCTATATTTGGTTTTTTTTTTTTTTTTTGGTTTTTTAGTTAAAATGGTTCCCGATATTGGCATAACTCATCATTTTGATCATTGATATTTAAAATCGATAGAACTTGTCCTAACTTGTTCACCTTCAATCATTTTGGTCTTTACGTAAAAAAACTCTGTTAAATAAAGAAAAAAATTTGACAAAAATACTCTCAATTTTTTGTCAAATCATTTTGGACCATTATTTATTAAATTGAAGGTCTTTTTGTCATTTTGGTCCTTATTTAACGAGGATATGTCATGTAATAACCAAAATGATTGAAGGTGATAAATTCAGGAACCAGTTCTATAAATTTCAAATCTTAGAGACCAAAGTGAGAAATTATGCCAATCTCATAGACTATTTTGACTAAAATAGCTTCTTTTCTTTGTTTTGGGGTGCAAAGTGAAGTAGATTTCTACCGTGATTTGTTGTACTAAGGGCTCCATCCATGTGGGATTGCTTGATCTCAAACCAATCCTAATGAAGTAAAGAGTCTACTTTTTCTGTCTTTTCACATAGTCTAATCTAATTCTATGTTGTCCTAAAGAAAGGGAATATTGTTCTCATCAATCTTAATAGATGGTGATGCTCGCTACCATATTTCTCATCGTTAGACGAGTTTAAAATTTAAGATCTATCTAGTTGGTAGACATAAATTTCAAAATTTAAACTCATTCAATGATGATATGGAATTGAACAAAGTGGTTGGTATTTATTTTCATAATTCTATCAAAATGTCTGATTTGTTGTTGTTTTGGAAAGGGCGGTTATATCGAAGGGCAGTGATAGAAAAGCCGACCAATTTGCTTTACTTAATTTTTTTTCTCAAACGATGGACAATTTTATTAAGATACTACCTAATTCACAAAATCAAATCCTCTCCATTTAAAATGGCTATGATCTATTTGTGGCCTCAATTATTGTTTGACACAATAAATTTATGACAACAAAGCTAAAAGCGTTGAGTTTATAAACATGTGTTAATAAATAATTGAGGAAGATCTTCACAATCACTTATCTGGACTTCCAGGTGGTCCTAGGACCATCCAGGTCCCTTAATGGATCTGTCATCCTTAATGGCATTCAAAAATACATTACTATTATTAATTAAGCTATTCATTCTTGAAACTAGGTTTCTATGGGTTTCCGAATAAAGTGGAGCATCACTTGTCATGGACGTTGTTGTCAACGTTAAGTCGGGAAAGTTCTCTTCCTTGGTTATGTGTAGGGATTTTAATGAGGTGTTGAGTTCGTCAGAACAACTTGGTGGGCTGGGAGAAGGGAGAGTCAGATGAATGGGTTTCAGGAGGCAATACATGACCATGAACTGGTGGATTTGGGATTTATTGGTAGTGAATACACTTCGACAGATAACATGGAGGATGAGGTTCGGTGTCGCCTTGACCTTGCGCTTGCTACTCAGACTTGGATACAGTTATTTCCGCATTCTAAGGTTTGTCACCTCAACCCTTCCAAATTTGACCATTTGCCTATTGTGGTGGAGATTCGGAATTCGGTGGGTGGCACCCCTTGGAAATCTTGCAGTTTTCGGTTTGAGGAGATGTGGTTACAGGAGGGCAGTTGTGAAGAAACGGTTGCAGCTGCTTGGAGTGTGCAGCGGAGGGGTTCACCATTGACCCGTGTGTGTGACAAAATTAGAGCCACTAGGATGGCGTTATTAGAGTGGCAACGTACTTCCTTTGGGAATACTACAATGGAGATTACGAAGGTGAGAGATAAATTGAGGGTTTTGTTTGAGCATCCTCCTTCACCGGATCTGCATGAATGTAGGGGAGAGTTGATGCAAGAGCTAGATAATTTACTTGGTAAAGAAGAAACCTTTTAGCGGCAGAGGGCGAGAACTCAGTGGTTGAAGGAAGTGATTGGACTACAAGGTTCTTCCATAACCGCGCTTCGAATAGGTGGCGGAAAAACACCATTAAGGGCTTACGGGGAGATAATGGGGTGTGGTATGACTCGCCAAAAGGTATTGAGGATACGGTGGTGGATTTTTTTAGGTGCATTTTCCGGACACAAGGGGTTCTCTCTAATGCCGTTCAAGAGGTGATAGGGGCCGTTTCGTAGAGAGTTACTCTGGAAATGAATGAGGTGTTGTTACAACCTTATTCCGTAGAGGAGATTAAGGTGGCTGTTTTTCCCACACATCAAAATCTCCGGGACCGGATGGCATGTCCCCACTCTTCTATCAACAATTTTGGCATATTGTGGGTCCAGAGATGGTGGAGGCGGTTCGATCTTTTCTACAGTTTGGCTATTTAAGTAAGGAAGTTTGTTTCACTCACGTTGTATTGGTTCCAAAGGTGAACGAGCCACAAGATATGTCACAATTACGCTCCATTAGTTTGTGTAATGTGCTCTACAAATTTGGTGCTATGGTGATTGCTAATGATCTTAAAGGCATGACATCCACGATTATTTTGACTAATCAGAGTGCGTTTGTGCCTGGAGGATTAATTTCGGATAATTCTCTTATGGTGGCAGAGATTGAGCACTATTTACATAATAAGAGGAATGGTAGGGAGGGTTCCTTTG